CTTTCAACTCTCTTTATATATACATACATATATGCATACACACACATATATACGCGCACACAGACACACAGACACACACACACACACACACACATATATATATATATATATATATATGTGTGTGTGTGTGTGTGTGTGTGTGTGTTCGCTTAATTTCAAAAGAATATATTTAGCAAATATTTATTTTTCTAGAAACGGGCCCCGGCGCACACATAAATGCAGATGTATATAGTAAGCTTATTTTCACTGCAAATTTTATTTTTTTGCACATTGATTGAAGACCACTAAAATATTTATTTTGCCAAGATTTTTCTTTCATTTTCCTTTTTTCTTTACAATTGTTTTTCAATATTGGTTGTCTAAATTCTATCAGCTCCTTTAGACATCTTTATCAAGTGAAATTGTTTTTAATGGTGATCGGTCTTCGCTTTCTCTGGCGTCATATTTCACTACTTTTTAGAAGTATATTTAATATTTAAGTCTTTATTTTTTTTTATAACCTGTTATGTGTTGTGGCGTCAGATCTTGAGTTGAAATTTTTATCATCATTTTGAAGTAGTTGCTCCAAGGTGCTAATTCAATCCTGTTTTATTTTTTAATTAGGTAATTTTATATTATTTGTTTGTATTTTAACAGATAATACTGATATTTATTCATAACAGTTAAAAGACTATATTCCTGGAAGTATATATATTTATGTATATATAAAGCTTTTTCTTTTTACTGTGCGTTTAGCGAATTGGTAAGCATTTCGATTTCCGACCATGATAACTGCGTTCAAGTTTCATAGGGTTGATTTGTTAGGGAGATAATTTCTTCTTGAGACTGTCAGAGCGAGTGGGACCGTTCGAGTGTACGTAAGAACTATGCCTAGATTTGATCAATGCCTCGCGAGAGCAACTGGATAAAAGTATCTTTTTCGGAACATGTCATGGGTTGTACGAGTACCAATAAACAAGTGTAAAAACACACGCACACTAACACTCACAAACACAAACACTCACATACGCCAATGCACACACACGGATACATACATACATGCATATATAGATATGTCTAGTATAACTATTTTTTTCAATTCCTGTAACAGCAAAATTTTCCAATTGTTAGATTAAGATCTGAACCGTCGTCTCTTAGAAATGATTACGGTTAACTTACTGGAATTCTTCCGGTTTTTTATAAGCCTATTGGTCTGTTATTTGAGAAAAAGTATGTATAATATCTCTCCAATGTTAACAGAAGTATCGTGATGAAATCGACCATAAACGAAAAGAGCATGTCATATTTAATTAATCATAGCTTAGGATCGGAGGCTCATGAAGTATTGAAACAACGTACAAATATATATATATATATATATATATATATGTTATTCCAGGATCATTTTCCACCTTACTCAAGACAATCTTCGCCCTCTCTGTCCATCTAACTTTCTGTCCTGCAGTAACAATTTGCCTCAGATTTCATGTACGAATTCATTTTAAAGAGTTTTTTCACTACCCATTGGACTGTCAAATGTGAAAGATCTCTCTCTCTCTCTCTCTCTCTCTCTCTCTCTCTCTCTCTCTCTCTCTCTCTCTCTCGGGCCAAACGTCTTAAGAATTGAGTTGGATCATTTCTAATTATCTCTTTAGCTCTAAATTGAAATGATGATCCCTCTTCCTGTAGTGACCTCCTGATACAATATATATATATATATATATATATATATATATATATATATAGTATAAAATACTTTTAAAGTATATTATGATCATATCTTACTGAAATACTGTTGAATGAGAAATTGTACACAGTGTCTTCCAAAAACCACCCAAAATCTCTCCTCGGAATATGATCCAGAGATTTGCTTCTAGACCTGTTAAAACATACATGCTGAAGTGAAACGATGTCTATTTCGTCTATTTGTGCGAAAATTATTGCAACATTTTAAACCAAATTTTAAAAAAATACCTTTAAAGAGTGCTATATTTATGTGTAAAAGGGATAGTGCGCAACATTCTCGGCTGACATGAAATAGAAAGACTATACTGAATCGCTTGTTAGGTCAACTGCTAAGAAATTTGGTGAAGTGTCGTACTAGACAATGTTACACACCAAAATCTATCTTACATATGTATAAGTCTACCATTCATCCATGCTTAAAATATTGCTGCCACATCTGGTCCGGTGCGCCTGCTATGTACGTATTTATAGATTCTTAAAAATCCGAAGAAGAACCAGCAATATCATTGGTCCTGACATGGCGTCTCGGCTTTAATCACTTTCCCACCACTGTAATTGAGTTTCTTTTCTTTAATGTTTTCGCCATAAATATTTTCATAGTAATTGTTCTGATGACCTTTGCTCTATGGTACCTACATTTTTATAAATTTAAGGACAGTACTAGATTAGCAACAAGGACTCTTCAATGTAGTTGACTTAACTAGATGTAACCGGAATTTTGATGCTGGCAGTTTCTTTTCCAGCACTCCGCGCTTATGGAAAGTTCTTCTGGCTTCATACTTCCCGGCCAAATTTGATTTTCAAATGTTTAAATATAAGTTATTTCTTGTTACTCTTCTATCATTCTCACTCTTTAATAATGTTTCTGTTTTCAAATTCATTCACAGCCAGTAACCCCTTTTACCTTAGTGGCTTTAATCCCTTGCTTAGGGTGAATTCGTTTTTTTTAAAAAAATATATGTAAATGTGGAAATCGAGGCCAATACCGAACGGAGCCAATCTGTTTTATACCTGAAAACAATCCGCAGGCCAAAAGATTACGTTGATTTGAAACAGTCACCGCTGGGGGTGACCATAAAGTGTCTTTACAATTAAAAAATATATATTACTGCAAATGTTTATCTTGGCCTTCATCCAACCATAATTTGCTAGCAAGATGGTGCCTCACTACATTGTGGATTGCATGTGAAGTTGTTCCTAAATCAAACATTTTCAGAACGGTGGAATGGATGGGATGGCCCAATTTCCTGGCTACCTTTTTCAACAGATATCACGCCAGTGGTCTTCTTTCAAATGGGATTATATTAAAGATATCTTGTATCGAAAAAAAAGATAGGGAACATCACTGATCTGAAGCGAAAGATCCCTGACGCCATTGACATCATAGATGAGGCTATGCTACAGCGTTCGTGGTATGGAATCAAGTATCGTCTTGATGTGCTCCTTGCAACTGATAGTGTCCATATAGAGGTGTATTAAATTAGTTAATAAACTTCAATATCTTCATCTGATTGTGTAATAATTCCCACATATTTGTTCATTTGCTTTTGTAATAAATTCTATAAATTGTAAAGAAACTTTATGGAAATCCTACACACACACACACACACACACACACACACACACATATATATATATATATATATATATATATATATATATATTTCATTAACTAATATAGACAAGTGTTTATTTAGCCAATGGCTTCTGTTACCAACTATAGACATTTAAGAATATTTGTGGAGATTTCATAGTTTATTTTGTTCAGGTTAGTTTTCTATTGTTTTATGTATATAGTTTCAAGAATTTTTAAATTTTGTTTATTGTTTTCATGTTTAAGTATAATTGTGTTTTCAACAAGGATTTTACGGAATTGTGTATGCGGTTTATACCAACAGCTTCTCATATTTAATACTTCTCGAATTCACTCTCGCGTGGTCATGTGTGACGCCATGAGCTGCGGTGTGATTTTCGCCTCCAGCGTTTTATATGCATGTGTTTATCGTTGCTTGGAAATCATCCATGTAAACAGAAACAGACTATCATCACATTCTTGTCCGTGTATTGCTTAATATATTGTAGTGTAATTGTCATCTTTGATAATGGCTTATGCAAGAAGAAAGCTTAGATTGAATTACAAAATATGTATCAATATCGTGATTTTCTTTCTTCGTTTAATGATAATGTTATTAAGCTTATCAGACGTTATGAAAAGAATTTACATAAAATAAATAAACAACACTTGTCTATATTAATTAATGAAACATGTATGAATGAAAAATGCTGCCTAAATACACAATATATATATATATATATATATATATATATATATATATATATATATATATATATATATATATATATGATATAGATATATATGTGTTCCAATAACTTGGGCCCATTTTAAATGTGAATTAAATTTAAGCGTCTAAGGATTTTTTTTTTTTCTTTCAGATTTAACAACTTAAGTCTTTGGCAATTTTAATCATGGAAAGATTGACAATCAAAAAACGAGTTAAATTTATCCAACCCTGTTACGAAAATGGACGTTCAAACAGAAATGCATTTCGTGCACTTCGCCATCTTTTGGTCAACATAATCGACTAACAGAAAGTGCAATTGGAAACGATGTAACTCTGTTGTGGAGAGGTTCAATCCCTGCGCGAAGACGATTAGAGGTGTCTTTTGGCCACATTCTCGTGCACTGCAGCAATGTTTTCAGCGGAACAGCGTAAACGAGCACGCAGTCGGGTTTTCACAACTGCCCCCGAACCAGTTTGTTTGAATATACGAACTTTTTTTTACAAATTGCACTTTTGGAAATTTTTCATTGTTAATCTTTCCATGGTTGAAATTGCTAAAGACTTAAGTTGTTAAATCTGAAAGTAAATGGAAAAAAAAATCATTAATTCACATTTGAAATCGGTCCATTATATATAAAGACATTTTTATGTTTATACATTCTTTTTATATATACAAATATTTAAGTAAATGCTCTGTTTATAATAAACAGTATTTACCGGCCTGAAAGTCCGAGAAATTTTCACAGAAAATATTCGTCATCCAACAGGGTTCGAACCTGTATCCTACACGGAACCGTCATTTAGCTTGACGTGCCTTTACCGATTTGGTGACGAAGGAAGGTTCGGTTAGCAAGGTCGAATTTATTGCATTTAAACTTCAATCTTCCATGGATCTCTCACATACATTCATATCTGCTGATGGCGTATCAAATGTACAAGAATGACGTCACACATTATGAAATGGACAAAGTCCGACGATTAGATTCGAACCTGTATCCTATACGGAACCGTCATTTAGATTGACGTGCCTTTACTGGAGGATGAATATTTTCTGTGAAAATTTCTCGGACATTCTGGCGGGTGAATGTTGTTTAATACTATAAAAAGAATGCATAAACATAAACATCTCTTAAAATAATTGTCGGACCTTGTTCATTTCGTTATATATATATATATATATATATATATATATATATATATATATATATATAATTTGTTAATAATTAATGGAATTTTTAATCCGACATAGTCTTAATACTTTAAACTCATATTTGTGTAGCGGTTCCTTTTTGTCAATAGTGTTTATTTACTCTACCGATCTGTGTATTCGAGAAAGCGTGACAAAGAAATGTGCACGGTCCTGTCATACTCATCCCCTTGAGATTCCATTGGTAAGAAGAAAGTTCTAAGAATTCCTACTTCGTGTAACGTACTCCCGAGGGAGTGCTTCCTGATCGCTACAATCTTAACCACGGCAAATATAGAGTCAAATGTTATCGATCCTACATCTACTCATAATCTGAAAACACATTTTCCTCTCACAGTAATAAAACAGATTCGTTCAATAAATTTAAGTGGCTCATGGGCCTTATATTAGGTGACCATTTTTGTAACAAAAAATGTACAGAATTTTAACTATATAGAGGTCTTGTAAAAGAAAAGAGACAATGTGGCATAACTTTGAAAGCGTAATGACTATATCTATATCTAAAGAAAATGTTAAGAAACAAATTCTTTTCTATCTATAAAATGGAATATGTCTGTCCATGTGTGTCTGTCTGTGCGTCTAAATGCTATTTATGAACGTCCAAATTTCTCGCCCGATTTCGATAAATTGTGCACACAATTTTCAAATTTATGAAGTTGGTCAAGACCGACATTTCAATCTTCAGCAACCACGGGTTTGGCCGAAAAATCGATAAAACTGAAGGTGCCGACGACGTTTTGCAAAAAACGAGGCTAATTTACAGGCGAACAAAATTTTTAATGGATGAACTGATGTTATTTGCACTTAATGCAAGACATAACTCATGTTACGACTTTTATGTAGAGTTCTTGATAGTTTTCCTGCAACATTGGCATCACACAAAACATATTTTAAACGATTTTCTTTAAAAATGTCGCAAATGTTTGGCGATCATGCAAGAAATAAGATAATATGATTCTAGTTGCGCTTGCTTCCCCCGCGTATAAGGAGAAACCCTTCTATAGAATGAAGTCTTGTTCCTCATCACCCTTCTGTTGAAGCACATTTCTTTTGCCCAGCACCTTTATATGGAATCACATTACACTTGTTCTAAAACGTTCCATAGAGCAACGTTTGTGTTACTGATCACCCTTCGGTAGAACTAAATTTCTTTTACGCAGCACCCATCTATAGAACCACATATTTGTTGGTCTGAACCAGTCGGTGGATCCGCATTGTTGTTGCTCGGGAGCTTTCTACAGAATCATATTTCTGTTGCTCAGCACCTTTCTACACATCCATCTTTCTTTTTCCTCGCCTCCCTTCTATAGAATCACATTTCAGTTTCGCAGCAGTTTCAGTAGAATCAAATGCTCAGAACTGTTCAACAGA